TAACACCCTCATGCCCTAGCCAGCCCCTCCACTGCACGCCGAACCGAGGTGGAGCAGCCCTGGGCCCCCTGCTCACTCAGTGTGCTGCAGTCCTGGATGCACGCGTAAACGTTGCACCTGGGAGAAATGAACTCTGGTGCGATCTGTGCTGGAGTTTTTGCTACATGCTAATTGCATGTGTAGATGCACCCACTATTTAGTATCTGAGGGCATTTGGCTAAGACTTACGGTTATTGTATAAATGTCTGGTATCTCCGTGGACCACGTCCTTATTGCCCATGGAGCATGAAACAGAGAAGTAGGTTTTTTCAGACAATCTGTGTGTGGAAACACTGGAGACAATGCACAGTCATCTCAGTTGTTAACTATCCCTGTCATATTCTATCAAGAGAAGAGATTATGGCTGCTGATATAGATTTGCTTATTTTGTGCCTCGGAACAGTGAAAGAAGAGAAAAAAAGTGAAGCGTATTTTGCCCTCCATTCACTATCAGTGAGATTCTTTTAAACCTGTTCTTGATGTGAAATACGTTGCTGCAGGAGAAGTTCCATTGATTTGAATAAAACTTCATAAAAATAAGTTTCTGATCTGTGCAACATATGGTGACAGAGCCGATCACTGTATATAGTATATATGAAAGTTAAGGATTATATTTAAAACTAACATTGGGGTTTCTAGTTGCCGGCCACCATATTGCTGAAGATTGTTACCAGAAAATAAATGTCACAAATCTATACCAGTTTCCACCATTCTGTATTAATTGACTAATGCAGAAGTTTGCTGTATACATATTTAAGCAATCTATAAGATTAAAAGTAAGTTACATTTAAGTCTTTCACCTCTCATGGTGTCACGGTGCTTGTTTTTCATTTAATTGTGATTTTTACCTTGATTTCTGTATCTTTTCAGTACAGAATATGTTACCCTTTGTTCTGTGTTACATTATCTAATTTAAACTACGTAATTACCTGAAAACAATAGGACACATTTTCAGGCCCAGTTTAGTTCAGTGTTGAGACTTGAGAAAGAAGTTTGAGAAATGGTTTTTGTTAGTTCATTGTTTTGTACCCTTCTGTTCTATTTTGGCCCTGTGTCTTGGCATCAAGTCTCTAAATAGCTCTTGTAATCTTTTTTGCCTCTCCCTCAGGTTTGAAAAATTTAGCTCTCCTCTGCATGTTGCCAGAAGGTGAATCTTTCCCCAAAAATGAGACCACTTCCATGAATGGTGCTAAGGAGGAACGTGGTGATGAGAAACCAGTCAAGGGAACTGATAAGAGGCCAAGCAGAAGCTCTCTTACATATCACAGTGTAAGTCTAAAATCTCTCAATTGCCCATAAATATGTCATTTCTACTCCAGGAATATAGGGTGCAATAACACATGATGTCATCAGAGGGTCAAATGTTCAAGTGATGGTTAAAGATTTTACTTTAACTGGATCTGCTTATTAAAAGCAAAACCTGAAGGTGAATCTTGCCCCCCCCCCCCAAACTTGTGTGGGAGAAAATAAAATAATTCCTCTTTATGGGCTCCATTGTTGTTTCTCTGGGCTGCAGGGAACAGTGTCTTTCCCAACCTTACATGTCAGGGGTAAGTTGATTTTTGTGAGCTGAATAAATAGTTTTACATGCAAGGACACTTGATGTTTGGGTATAACATTATGTGCAAAACGGAAGATGAGAAATTTCCGCTGTATGGAAATTATGGCTCTTATAATAATTTATCACTGGAAGAATTTGATGCGTTACATTGTAGTCTAATCTCTTAATGTATTTGTTTCGTTTCTAGGGGAAAGGTGATCATTGTAATGAAATGGAACCTCCTATAGATAAGCAAGGTGGTGAAGGAAATCTTAATGCTGCCTTAGCAAAGAAAGCTGTTTTGAGACCGGATTCAAGCTTGTCCGCAGATAACATATCTTCAGTACTTCCAGGTAAAAGATTATTTCCCATTTCCCCCAACATAGAAATAGCTCCCACACACAGATATTACAGTTGCATTTGTACAACCATTCTTTTGCATATTTGTAAATAGAGTCAATTCAAGTGGAGAGTCTTTTGCATAAAGACCTGCTAATTTTGCTGCTTTGGAATAACTGCCTCAAGATTTGAAAGACTCCCTTAATTGTAGTAAGTCCTTCTGTTTTGGGAGAATTTCAGTGTAATTTCTAATGCAAAGTTAATGCTCTTGTTTGCAGGGCAAATTTCTGCTCGCTTTTCAAATGCTTTTTTTTTTCTCCTTATGACTGAAGCAAGTATTTAAGTATAATTGGCACCTTCCTGCTATTAATTTGCAGAGATCATCTAAATCAGAAGTGTCAGACATATGGCCCGTGGGCTGGATCCAGCTCGTAGAGCCCCATCATCTGTCCCCCAGTGCAGCTCCTGGGGCTAATCAGACCTACGTGGAGCATGGCATGTGTCTGGTGCAGGGCTGGTCCACGGACTGATTCTAGCCCATGGTCCAACCCATTCCCTTTCCCCTCCCTCGGTATACCTGATCTGGCAACAGCTCCGTTTGGTCTGGGACCTGTGTGGCTTGTGACCAGATCCCGGAGTGGTTGGGGTGGGCGCCGCGTGTGGCACAGTCCAGCCAAAGCAGGCGTCCCATCCAGACTGTGCTGTATGCAGCACCCACTCTGGTATGTGTGCCAAACACGTCATGTGCTCCAGCCAGGACGGGGACTGCACTGCACATGCAGCTTGGGTCCCAGATTGCCTGAAAGTGTGCTGCATGCAGCACACTCCGGCCAGGGAGGCTACCGCATGCAGCACAGCTGCCACTCCCAACTGGACTGTGCTGCACGTGGTGCCCATTCCAGCCATTCATGTCCGCACTGCACTCAGCCTGGGTCCCAAACCAGCTGGAGCAGCCACTGAATCCAGTGTGCTGGGAAAGGGGAAGGGGATCTGTGGGCTTGATGCCGGTCTGCAGACTGGCTCCATCGACTCAACAGGCTGGGAGAGTCTGACACCCCATCTAAATTTTTTCCTCCATGTTTCTTTTGCGTGTTCCTTCTGAGATTTTCTGGTACTTAGTCAGCTCCTTCCAATGTATTTCTCTTTGAAATTAGAAGTGGTATGACTTTGTCTTTAAATGGTTACCTTACAGTTAAAGGCTTTTTATAGAGACATCTTTTAAAATGTGTAATCTACAAAGCATTGCTTGAATTTTGATAATATTGTAATCATTGTAATGTGAAACAGAGCACGCTTGCACAGTAAACTTTATTTTTGCATAACTTTAAGAGCACTGTTTATGTTCTACGCTTTTGTCCTTTAATATTCATGTTTTGTTTTGTTTTTGAAAAACAGATGATAATTCAGAAGATCCATCCCAAAAGCTGGGAGAGAAGGCTTTAACACCTAGCCACGAACAGGTCTTTGCTGAATGTTCTCAGAAGAGGATTCTAGGACTGCTGGCAGCTATGCTACCCCCCTTCAAATCTGTAAGAGAGACGTACAAAAATTTCCAACAAACTAGCAAAATTTGTCACAAAGCAGATAAGAGCATGAGAAGTCATAGATAAAATGAATCGCATGGGGGAGTGAAAGTCTGGGAATATAGGCATGGAAGGTCTACTTCAGTTCCTGTTTGTGTGGCTTTTGTGTCAGAATATTAATTTAAGGAAGTATGGTGACATGTTTTCTTAACTCTGAGACATCCTTCTCAAGTAAAACTTGGTTTGCATTTGTTATAGCGCCTAAGTAAACTTGGTGTTTGACACTGTCCTGGTTTATACACCAGATTTTATCGCAAAGGAAATTTCCCATCTTTTTCCCCTCATCCTATGCTATGAGAAATGTAGTATTTTGACTATAAGTATTGAAGTAACAGACAGCAGCTTTACAAGGCTACAGAACCACTGCCACTTGACATCTTTCAAAGTCTACAGGTGTATATTCTTGCAGCTTTACTTCCCTGAGTTGATTTGCACTTATAAGTAAGTTTTTTTTTCTCGATGTAGTTCATTTACTGTAGTCTTCTCCTCTTCTCACCCCCTCCCCACCCACACCTAAACTGAAGCACTAAACTTTTTTTTTCCTTACCTGTGCTTATTGTGACTTCTAAAGGCTGCGAATATCTCATATCAAATGCTGTTTTCTCCTTAGCACTGCCCAAGAAGTGACTTTTCTTGTTATTCCCATGCCACCTTGTACTCGCTGAAAAGATCCAAATTATTTTCTTAACTTTTCCTGTGCTTAAATATAGTTTTCCACTCCCCAACCTTGCCATGAAAATATTATTTATTTAAATACATGTTAAGGCAAGAAAATTTCAGCCCCAAACTTGAAAGTTTAGGAAAGTTGTAACTGATTGAAAATGGGGGTGAGAATAGGTTGTGTATAACCTTTCACTATATATGTTTCTGTGTCTCCTACTTCAATGGGAATTTTTTTTTTAAGGGCTCTACAATGTCCTTGGTTAACTTGGACCAGATCCTCCCACTGATGTTTCAGGTTGTAATCTCCAATGCTGGCCACTTAAATGAAACCTATCATTTAACTCTGGGGCTTCTGGGCCAGTTAATTGTGAGACTTATGCCTGCAGAGGTCGATGCTGCAGTGACAAAGGTCCTTTCAGCCAAACACAGCCTGTTTGCTGCAGGAGATGGGTCTACAGTGCTGGAAGGATGGAAGACAACTCATCTTCTCTTCAGTCTGGGAGCGGTGTGCTTGGACAGGTACTTTCTAGTTCTATCCAAATACTATCTCTATTGATTTAAAGCAATCTGCATGATAAGGAGATGAGTTTAATACAAGGAAGCTAGCTAATTCTGCAGCCTGATCCTGAAATTCCGGACTCCCATAAGTCTCATAGAATTTAGTATGTATTAGGGTTGATGGCTAATTTTGCTGGCCTAATATACTCCAGGTTACTGTTGTGAAAGGCAAAGGTTTGGGCTCTTTAAAAGATTTACCTTCCTTTAAATTCCAACATGTCCTGTAGTTCAGGAAGAGGTGGCTCACATAAGGGTGTCAAGAAAGAACTGGCTTAGGAATGGGAAGTCTGGGAGTAGAACGGAGGGGACTGCTTGTCAAAGAGCCCAGGAACGTACAGAGCTTGTGTGTAGGAAAGAGATAGGAAAGAAACTGGGATACCCGTCTCATTTCCAACACCTTGAAGTAGAATAGTTGAAAAAAAAGAGTTAATACCACACTTGTTAAATATTCCATTAAGCTTTATTCCTCGTTATGTTTTTAAGAAGGGGGTGAAGCTTTGTACAAGTCACTAAACCAAGCAGAAAAGCTTGCAGACTTATAAAGACAAAATACAGATTTGTAAATCAAAAAGGTGCACAATCCCTGGTATCCTGTGAAGTTGCTTTGGATCATGCTATAACAAAATATGACTTTAATTTGCTAATAATTTAATAAGACCCATCTTTCAAGCTTGTCTTACTCAAGCGTAAGAAGTGAAGAAAGGGAAGAAAACTCGGTTTTAAAATTAAATGAAAAATTCATGGTAAAGTATCTTAATGTTTTATTGATGATTTTGGGCCATAGACCCCTTTTAAGACAGCAGAACTTCGTGATCTTAATGTTTTAATGTGGGATGGAATGAACAGCATTCATATGTCTGTTGAAGTCAGAGCCTTAAGTGGTTAAATGGAAAAACATCACATGCCACAGGAGTGTGATAGCTTTAAACAAGTGGAAATAATATAATAATTATTTTACGTTGTAAAGGAGAATGCTTGCCAAACAGTCTGTAGTCAAACCATCTAACGCAGTTCAACTTTGTTTTTTAGTCGTGTAGGTCTGGACTGGGCAAGCTCCATGGCAGATATTCTTCGGGCACTGAACTCCTCTGCACAGTGGCATAGTGTAATCGCTGCTTTCACAGATCATTGCATTAAGCAGCTGCCCTTTCAGCTAAAACACACCAATATCTTTACCTTATTGGTACTTGTTGGGTTTCCAGAGGTGAGTGCGTTATTGAGAGTCTGATGAATAAATGATAATTTGAGCTATTCGAAAGATAAGGTTGTACAACTGAACACCAGAAATTTACTTTGATACATCAAATTGACAAAGCCTCCAAAATCAAGTAAGTCTGAGACTTCATCCTTCCTCTTGTCTTCAGTGCAAAACAAAATAAGAACTCTGGCATTGCCATGTTATGTTTCTTTGTGGACAACGTGTAACCAGCAACCTGAAATCTAGAGTAGCATGACATTTCAGCATCCAGAAAGGGCTTTTGTAACAGCCTGAAACAAGCCTTTGTGTTCTTCATCATGGTAACTGTTACCTAAATACCGTTAGATTGTTAATACGCCCCAGAGGTATTTTATTACATAAATCCACTGTGTATCTCTAGGTACCAGCAAATTCCTGATGGTATAGATAAGTGTGATATCAATTGTAACCAAAATGCAACAAAGTATGCAAGATAACTGGTGGGGGAGTATTTTACAGGAATAGTCTGAATAGTAAATGAAACCCTTTTTCTGCTACTGCAGGTGCTGTGTATGGGAACTCGTTCTGTGTACATGGATAATGCCAACGAGCCTCATAATGTAATAATCCTGAAACACTTCACGGAAAAAAACAGGGCAGTTGTTGTAGACATCAAAACCCGAAAGAGGAAAACAGGTTCCATATAATTTTTTTTTTTTTTTTTAATCTAAGAATGACATGATTTTTCTTTATACTGTCTTAATGGAGATCCAAAACCTGATGCTTGACTAGATGAGTTTATATAATCTTTTATGGACTGAATTCATTGCAAAAAAATTATCTGATTTATGGGCAGAAATCAGGTACAATTTTAGAGGCTTTTGCAGTGGCGATCAGGGACATCCTTGGTGGTTGGTTTTGTTTTGTTTTGTTTTTTTCAGACACTTACATTTGACGTGTTTTTAGGAATGTGTACAGAATATGACATTTCACGTTACTTCGTTAATGCAGAGACCTCTGGTTCACTGTTGTCACTTCATCTTTTATTGGTATCTGCTCGTTGGGTTTTAAATTGATTGCAGCTCATACTGTAGTGTACATACTTAGTGTTATCATCCACGGGAGCATTCAGAACTTAAACACATGCGTTGTAGTCTATTCTGCTGTCCCAAAATGAATCCTCAAACTTCCCAACATCTTGCCTGTTTTGACAACATGCCATGGCCATTCATTGGCAGATGGAAACTGAAAACAGAAAAAGCCCTGTTACGTTAGTTGTCTTTATAGGGGGTTGTGTTGGTTGTGAGCAGCTTGTCACCCTGTAAAGTACTTTTTTTCAGAACTTTTTTAACATCAAATATTTCACAAAATCTCTTAAATCTCCTACCCCAAAAGATATGAAATAAGGGTAGGCAATAAGTTTTGTACCATGTGTCTCATGATTTTCAAAAAAGAGCTGTTGTGCATCTGATGCACCAATCTGTACTTCAGGGAAGATATGTGGGCCATGTCCAAATGAGCGTGGCCATGCGGTATTTGGCACCGCAGACATGTCTGTTGCACCACACGCTGCACATTCCGTTGTTCGCTGTGCTGCAAGGATATCTAGGGGTCAAAAAAACCTATGGGGAAAAAAAGTGGAGTAGCGCATGCAGCAGCAGCGTGCGCCACTCGAACCCAGAGCCCGGCCAGCTGGAGCCATGCTCCATTGCCAGCCAAGCTCCACGCGGCAGGATTGCCGCTGCTGCAGCCCCAGGAGGACCCCAGGTCAGGCTGCTGGAGCCAGCCCAGTGCTGGCCCCAGCCTCCCCTACCCCATCTGGGGTCATTTGCTGTGCGCCAGAGTGCGTGTGACACGGGTGTTCCCCAGGCGCAAGGTGCACCGCTGGTAGTTGTGCCCAGGACACCAAACGTCCACGCACATCTGAACATGGCCAAAGTCTGTGACACCTCTCAGAATGATGCATTTGGAGCAGGTCCTCAAAGTGGAGTTAGTTATTTGATAATGTTTTGCATCAACTATTCTTAATATCACTTTTACTATAACGAAGTAGTAAGTTTTGTTTTGTTTTGTTTTGTTTTTTTGTTTTTTTTTGTTTTTGTTTTTTTAGTTTCTTCTTATTTCACCTTGTAAAAAATATATTGCCAAGGCCAAACTAAATATAAAATATGCAGTGAATAGATCCTTCAAGGCTGATCTTTAGAGTCATGGCATCTGATTTGTATTGACTGCAGAAATTCATCGGGATTTTGAGACTAATAAAACAAAGGGTGGTCATGTGATCATAACACTGTAGCATTTTGAGGAAGGTGGAAGGAAAGGATCAACAAGTTTAAAATGCTTTGTTTCGATCACGGCCTCTCCTTTTACTGACTGACGTGTCAAAATTGTATTGAGGATTAAAAGGAACAGTGGAAAGAGAGCTGCATCACTTATTTCTTTGAGTCAACTATGGATCATTAATTTTCTCCCCTCATGTCTCTGTATTGCCTTTTAAGTATTCTAGAAGTAGCTTCCATGCCCATTAAGTCATTGTTAAGTGCTAAACAAGCTTACGCAGTTTTTAACTGTAGTTGTAGATATTTTTAGGAAAAAGTGCAAACTACCGTTCTTTCCATACCTCACTTCTGAAATTTCCTTTTTGGTTCACTCTGCTCTGAAAGGAATCAGAAAGTATTTCTTAATACTGCTGGTAAAACCAAGAAAATGTCTAGCTATTAGAAAAGCTTATGCCCTCAGCTTGGAATTCAACCTGCAAAGAAGCTGGTAGTCTCAGATTAACCCATATACATAGTTGTGTATTCTAAAAGTATATAACCTCTTTTAGCCTGATGCTTAGTGCTAAGAGGGGAAGTATTGCTATTTTAAAATGAGTCTAGGGATGAGTTTCAACATATCTGTCTACTTTTCTTCTAGTAAAAGACTACCAGTTGGTCCAGAAATGTGGACAAGAAAGCAGCGAGTCCCAAACCCAGCTGAGACAGTATCTCCAGCACTTTGTCTTTATAACTAGTCACCTTATGCAGACCAGCATGGACAGCAGTTATGCAGAGGCAGTAGAAGCAACCTGGGTCTTGTCTCTTGCTCTTAAGGGATTGTACAGAACACTTAAGGTAACTGTTGCATCTGGCCTATAATAGGGGCTCTCTGGGTTAAGGGACTGTTTGTCTCTTGTAGAGCACCTTGTACAAGAGACTTGATTTCTGATTTGGAATTCCTAGGCATTATCATAATATAACTAATAATATCTAGAGCCACATGTCAGGGCTGGTTCCAGTGAGGCTGATAGTGTTGATCAAGGGTAGGCATTATTAATGGGCAATTTTTTATTTTCCTCTGTGCTAAGGATGATTGTGAGGTAGTTGCACATTGGGATAGATTTTTTTTTTTTGAGTCGGGGAAAGGTGGTGGGAGCATGTAAATCCTAAAGGTCTTGGAGGAGGAATTGCAGGGAAGTATTTTATGCATTTGAGCTCACTGTGTAGGGTACATTTCTACTGGAGAGCAAACTCATTTAGAAGTATTAGTGTATATCCTGTTGCAAATTTCTGAGGTATTCAACAGGAGGAATTGTAAAGAAAAAAAACTCCTTAGAATCGTTTTCGGTAGGAATTTCACTTTGATCCTTATGTGCAGACCTATCAGACCACTTTCAGTCATTTCTGTTTTTGTGTCTTTGGCAGGCTCATGGCTTTAAAGAGATCCAAGCTGCCTTTCTCCAGTCTGGTTTACTTAAACTGCTGGTTAAAAAATGCAGCAAAGGAACTGGCTTCAGTAAGACATGGCTTCTCAGAGACCTGGAGGTAAGAGAATGAATAATACATTGTAAAAAGGTCAGTCTTATCACTGGCATAAAAGTTCAAGACATTGCAATGTTGCTATATTTGTTTTAAACCTCTGAGTCATTCTTCATAGTTTCATGGTTTCTAGGGTCAGAAGGGACCTGAGTAGATCATCTAGTCCGACCCCCTGCCATGGCAGGAAAGATTACTGGGGTCAAACGACCCCAGCAAGGTGTTCATCCAACCTCCTCTTAAAGACCCCCAGGGTAGGGGCCAGCACCACTTCTCTTGGAAGTTGGTTCCAGACCCTAGCCTCCCTGACCGTGAAGTAGCGCCTCCTGATATCTAGCCTAAATCTACCCTCTACC